CCCTAAAACCCTAAAACCTTAAAACCCAAAAACCCTAAAACCCTAAAACCCTAAAACCCAAAAACCAAAAAACCAAAAAACCCTAAAACCATGACGTCATGCCAAAAAATGAACAAAACCCTAAAACCCTAACCTTCGTATTTTGATTTTTTTGGAGATCCTGAAAGCGAATAAAAAATGTGACCCAGATCCAGTAACAAAATTGGCTCAATGTATCATAAACCCTCTCTTTTCAACCCAAAAATGCAAAATTGACGTCATATCCGAAAATTAAGGAAATCCAAGAACATATAATGTCCAAATTCGCGAGTAATTTTGCAGATTCTCAGTCTGAAAGCGCGCAATTGAGGAATGTCACGTACGCGGGTCACGGTGCCATGGCATTAATACTGGTGCGCATCAAATTGTCTCGATCTATATCACGGGCGGCCTTGAAGTTTGAAAAGCCAATAAATCATCGTGGAAGTAAGCGCATGTGCACCGGCCTTAAATACAACATATATGTGAAATTACAAAATGTTCATATTACGTACTGCGCGCTATAGTTAATTAGTTATCCGCCTATACCGGTAATTCTAGAGCTAGCTATATATATTGAGTACCCGTTCAATACTTCCGAGTCAAGGAAAAGCATGCATCATTGTCATATTCATATGAATTGGCTACCATGCTCGATCGTCGACATGACCACTATGGACGGTACGTCGATTCGTATCGCGAGCGTTTTATTCACCTTGCCCCATGTGCGTATCATAACCAACGCTTGGCAGCTTCTCAGTCTTGAAAGGTGTGCAGCGATTCTGTAGCGCAGCATGCAGCTATGCGCTCTGAGACTGCAAGTCACAAGTTTGTACATCGAACACGATCCATGGCACCAACAATTTGAAGGTCACGTTCTTTTAGCTGCCCCAGCGATTGACATGCATTATTGTTCACTCTAGAAGGTGCAAAGGGATTAGAGAATGCACAGCAAATGGCAGGCTCAATTTTCTTAGACGAGCAGAAATGATGCTTCCCGAATGATTGGGCTATATGTCAAGAATTTACAGGATTATTGTTGAGCTCAAAACCCACCGGTTGGGCCAACTCCTCGTTGTGGCCAAACAAGCTTTCCCACTCGGTCACAAACTCGTAGTCATAAGGAGCTTTCTCCTCACCCGGGATGGGATCCCGGATGATCGCCCACCGCAGCCGCGGGTAATCGAAGATGATGCGGCTCCCCTGTCGAGCAAAGGTACACACAGGTGAGCAGCAGACACGGTCACAAGGGAGAAGGTAGCCTCCAAGCACTCCGCAACCCCGTCAGGTGAGAAACGGATGACCACTTCAGTTTGACAATATGCTGGAACAGTTCAATTCAAGGCTGCACGTAAGTGCTAGCTGTACTGCATCCCCTTCCATCGATCGCAAGAACGCCTCCTCTCTGCCAAGTCCTGTCTTCAAACCTCAGTTGTCTTTCCTGAGGACAGTAGCGCTTTGATCCTGAGAAGCTCTAACGCCCGGGGTTCCACCACTTCCGCTTTCTAAAGAAGTGTCCTCACAGCAGCCAAGCTGCTTGCTGCCCGGCGGGCCTCTTCTGGCGCGGCCTCACCTCGAGCAGTTCTCCGCAGATGACGCCCACGACGTACTCGGAGATGTCGAACATGTTCTCCTCGATGCACAGCAGCGCCTGCACGCACACCCACCCCTCCGCTCAGCGTCATCACCACCCCGCAGCCATCCGCGCTGCTGGAGCAGCGTCAGCCGGGCAGGACCCCTCATGCAGGCTGGCCCGCCTGCCTCTTTGTCGGGACTGCCTGCGCGCAGCTCGGAGCCCAAAAAGCAGGCAACTCGTAGCGGCCTGACAGTCCAAAAAGCACACTTGGAAAAAGCGAGGGGGAAGGACGTACCTGCTTGGGCTGCTTGAAAGTGTACCCCCCCAGAACGAAGGGGATCTCAGCTGAGAATAACTGCACGGACAAGCCAGGTCGCCTCATTCGTACCCGCGATGAAAAGCAGCGATGCTATTATACAGCAAGCACCTGAAACAATTCGAATCTCATTAGCATCGAGGCAACTGACAGAGCGCAGTCCTGCTTTGCTGCTTGTATGAGGCCCAGGCGGGCAGGTGCGGAGGTGTGCGCCCACCCTAACTGCGCTCTGCTCCTGGCCCGGGAATGGCGAGACCCCCTTGATGCGCATGTTGCCGCGCCGCCGCCGCGCGTTTAGCAGGTCGTACTTGGCCACCTGCCAACAGTGCGCACGCTCCGATTGTCAGCCGGCCACTCTGCGCATCCGTAAGACAGCAGTAGCCGGGCACAAGGACGTGCAGAGATGCCACGACCGCAATGCACAACTGGCTGACGTCAAGGTCCGCTATACCCCAAGAAAGACATTCCCGTTCCTAGGACCCGTCGTTGGCGCGCTCACCCCCCGCTTGTTGAAGATGAGGTCCACTCCGCCCGCGCCGGTGTCCACCAGGAACAGGTCGGTGTACCGCCCGAACGTGCCGCGCGCCACGGGGCAGCCGCCGATCATCTGGACGCGCTGCAACACACAAGGAAGGAAGCCGGCGCTCCGGTAAGCCAAAAGCGGGTGCGGGAAAGCTGGCGGCGCCGCGGGGCCTCCGGGGCATGGCACGCTAGCAGCATAGTGCGTACAGGACGGGCACGAGAACACAGGTCGCCAAAGGGAGGAAGCAGTTGAAGCTTTCAAACTTTCCACAGCATCTGGATAAACGGGCCAGCTAGCCCCATCGAGGCGCGGGGCCGTGCTGCAGTAGCATCCGGGTGCGTGCTGCGGCGCGCACCTGCATGAGGCTGGCGTCGTCGGGGAGCGCCTCGTACTTCTCGGGCCGCTGCAGCCGGATGCCCGCGTCGTCCGTGCCGGCCTCGGTCAGCCGCATCTGCACCGGAGCAACGGCACCGCCGGCAGGACAGTCAGCAAACCCGTAGCGCAGCGGTACAAGCCGGCTCGACAACCAATAGACCGGCAGTTAAATCCTGGACTCCGAGCAGTGGGCCCGATGTGGCAAGCGGTGTGCAGGGGTCCAACTTCGGCCCAGGCGGGCCCTCTCACTCCTGCACTCCCCTTTTTACGCCAAAAAAGGTCTGGGCCATCTTTCAGCTCAACAAAGGCGGGGGGTAAGGCCGAGCAAGAACAGCCGGTCAAACAGGGCTGTGCTGTTTACGTTACGCCATATTCGCAATCCAGTTTTCCCGTTGGCAGGTGCCGCGCGGGTGCTCACGTGGACGGTGGCGCTGAAGAAGAGGTCGTGGCCGACGGCGCCCACGACGGGCCCGAGCGCGGGGTCGTAGCCGGTGACCAGCTCCGCCAGGTGGTCCACCTCCATGAACAGCGGATCGCTGATCACCACCGGGCCCAGCTGCCACGTGCGGCCGCGCCGGAAGGGGGCCGGGAACTGCAGCAGTGACACGGGGTGCGGCGCGGTGAGCGGGGAGGAGCAGCGGGGCAGCCAGGGACAGCGACAAGGAAGAGCACGCATGCCCTAAAGCCGCTTCAAGTCAAAGAGACGTTGCCCCGCTTCACGAGGGGGGACGAGCCTGAACCCATGAGTGCAACCGCAAAAGATACGAGTACAGGAGTCTCTTGTTTGCAGAGCACGGGATGCACGGGATAAGGCGGCGTCCCACCGTGTCACCGGGGGCAGCGGAGGGCGGCTCACCTCGCCGGTAGCTGTCACGACGTTGATCTCCCCAAATTGCTCCATGCCCAACCGGGTCGCCTGCACCGCCAGGCCAAGCAAGGAAACGCGCTCAGCGACTAAGAGCAGAGGCGAGTAATGGGGAGGTAGGCATGCACGGCGTGACGTTCGGCATCCCTTTGGGGCCAATAGAAGCGAAGACTTCAGGGGTCTGAGGTAAGAGCTGGCCAACATAGAAATGGACAAGCGAGGAGGGCCACGCTCCACAGAACAGCGGTGCTGGGGCGATCCTGGGGTGGCTTGCTCACGTGCTCCTTGGTGATGGTCATGATGCTGGCGCCCGTATCCACCACGTACAGCCTGCACACCAGCAGCGCATCGCGCACATGACGCCAGGAAACAGGCCCCGCACGACACTGCTGTGCACACCGCTCAAACATCGGAAGATTCAACGAGCTTCCGCATACGAGTGCCCATATGCTCGGCTGCGTGCTCTGGCAGACTCCTTGCTGTGCCAATTCTTTATCCGCCTGAGGTCCGAAGCGCGGGGGCTGACTGCTCGACATCAAGAAAGCCAGGTAGCACGGAGAAAGTTACTTTATAACGAGTTGTTGGCCGCTTTCTACTATCGATGTGGGTGTGTGAGCAGTGTGCTCACCCAATGTCCTGGCCGTCGACCAGCGGCCGCACCAGGTTGTGTCCACTCTCAGTTCGGATCATCTGACCACAACAGCAGCCATGGGGGGTTAGCGAAGGCAGCCACAGCAGCCTGCAGTGCATTAAGCAGCCAAATCGGCGGCAGGACAACAGTGGGCCGTCCCAAATCGATCACAGATTCGCTTTTATATGCGTCGGGGCATACTTCTTCACCGGTCCCTCCAGACCCGACCGCTGTGCGTCCATGCTTAGCGTACACGGCACGTGTTTCACTTCCCGTCCCGCCACGGCCGCCCGACCCTCACCTGGACGTCGACGATGTCGTCGCCGACCCACTTGACGGACTGGCGCGGCGCAGGGTCTTCGGGGGAGGCCACCTGGTACGGGATGATGGGCACGTCGAACGGCAGCTCCTCGTTCTCCTCCGCCTGGGTCAGCGGCGGCCGCGTCTCAAACGTCTCCACTCGCAGCACGGTGCGTCCCGCGCTGCCCACGTGCTCCTTGATCACCTCCACCGGGTGCAGGCACGCCAGGCCCGGCTGCGAAACCACGGGCAGACTCTCTCAGCGGCATCCCGAAACAGTACTTCAGAATCTGCAGTGCCAAGCGGCAAGTGCAACGACCCAGGCAAGTGATACACGGCCTGCTGCAGGAGCACACCAGAGTATCCCGCGCAATCGTGTTCTTTGCAACAAGTGTATGGGCAGCCGTGCCCAGAGCTCTTGCGTTCTGACGGGGTTGATTCTGACAGGGCCGCCAACGAGCCCGGCCCGACCACCTCAGGTTCCGCACCTCACCTTCATCCTGCGCCAGTCGTTGAACTCCCACCGCTCCTCGCAGGTGCCAAACACCTTCATGGTTAGCCGCTTGGGCAGCCACGTCTCGCGGTCAAACACGATGGTGCCCTTGATCTGCACGCCAGCCACCACCAACGGCACCAGAGAATGATGCGAGAGCACCCTCTGATGTGCTCACCGCTACACACGTACCGACCTGGCAGCCTCGACATGATGGCGAGTCTTTTCCATGGGCAACCGAGTACTAGTCTCGATGAATCTCGCAACACCGACCAGAAGAGTGGATTACAGCAGGTTGCAATGCTCCTGGAGCTCCTAGCAATCGATCCAGAACCGCCATACGTCTGCAGCGGTGTCCGCAGGCCAGAACCAGTGACAATGGGGGTACTGCCTCACCATTTTTTTGGTCATGCGGATGCGGAGCAGGAACTCGCCCGGCTCGGGCTGGTAGTTGGGGATGGACAAGGTCATGACCCGCTTGGCCTCCAGGCTTCGGTTCAAGTAGTACCCGCTGCGCACCCAATGCGCCAGATGCACCACCTGCAAGTCCCCATGTAAGTACGGCAATCAGTGCGCAGCGCCCGGTCAAGAGGGCTAGGATCTAATCTGAACGGCTGGCAGGGACCTTGATAGCGCTCCGTGTGCAGAGCCAATTCACCAGAGGGGAGCAAGAGGCAGCCCAGATGAGTTGAGTAAGCAAGGACAGCCTTTGCATCTGAGACAGCCACCTGGCTGCCTTCACTGGTGGAGTGCGTTATCTTACGCCCTGCATTCTCCTTTTGTCGTTTTCATTTTATAACAACCAAAAATGCAAGGATTGTCCTTGGTTGTCTTGTCCCTCGTGAAGAGGCAGCCGAACGGTGCAACCCAGACCCGGACAATGACCGGCGGTGGTCCTTCCAGTGCGATGCCCCAGCACGGTGGCGGCGGCGGCTCACCTCAAGGTCGTCCAGATCGAGCAGGCGTACTTTGCCCTGCATGTTGGCGTCCCACACAGAGGCGTTCTGGTTGCCATTCCAGCCCAGGCTGGTCGACAGCTGGGGGCTCTTCCACTGCTCAAAGAAGCGCCCCGTGCGCACCTCAAACAGCCACGTGTACTGCCCCTCCATCTTGAACAGCTCCTGCGTCCCTGCACCACGCACGCACCAGTCAGGATGCCGGCAGGCGCCTAGGCAGTAACCGAAGAGAGAGCGCTTGTGTTACCCACAACAAGCTCGAGTTCAATCTGGAGTCTGTTTGTACAAGCGCGGGTCGCAGAGTCATCTGTAAATCGACGTAAGCTCTTCATCAGTATCATCAGTATCTTCTCCAGATTCTGCCTTCAAAGAAGTGCGTGAACCTTGTCAAGTCTTTCATAGTCTGGACTGCAAAGAGGCTCTTCAAAACTTGCTTTCCAGTGGCGTCCACCTTGAATACGCCCAGAAAGTTGCCACAGAGCTTTGCACCACGGGCGATGGGGGGGTGGTGCGGTACGAACCTGTGACGGTGACGATGCCCTGCTGGTGGTAGTCGTCGTAGCCCACCGCTGCGCGCATGTTGGCCAGCGCGTCCTCCAGGCTGATCCCCGGGTCATAAACGTTGGCGTCTGGCACCATGTACGTCATGCCGTCCCGGGCAGTCTGTATCAAGTTTGACACCTTGGCCGGCAGCCGCATCAGCCGGGGGGGCGGGATGGGCGCAAAGTCCCCCCGCGCAAACGCCTCTGCGCACTCGCGGTCGTATTCTTCGTACGCTGCGTCCACCACGCCCAGCTTCCGCTGCAGCTCAAACTCCTCTTCTTCCTCCTCCGTGAAGCGCCGCCCGTCTTCATGGTAGTGTATCTCGTACCCAGGAAGGACATCGCGCTTTGGCTTCTGCCACTGCTGCAGCTCGCGAGGCAGAATGGGGTATGGGTTGGGGTACGGCCCCTTGCCATAGCGCTCCTCCGGCTCATTGGGGTCTCTTCCCCGGGCACTGTCAGAAGTCTGCGGAGGCTCCCCCTGATCGGTACTGCTGGTGGAAGCGTCCTCCCCGCTTGGTCGCTCAGCATCGCCCTCTCCTGCTCGAGCGGCGACAGACCTGCTCTTTTGAGAATGCTGACGCCAGCCCTGAAAGCGAGAGTGTTGTTGAGACTTGGACGATTGTGAGCAGTGCAGGTCTACAAGAGCTCGTGAGGCCAGATGCGAGGCAGAAGGGCTGTGACGAAGTTGTTGAAGTGAGGTGGGTGGTGGTAGGAAAGCTGCATTCTGCTGATGGTGCCCACAACCAGCTCCTAAGAATTTACTTTGGCGCCATTGCCTAGCTCTGTGACAGTGCTTGTATTCCTGCTCATTCCACCAGGAGGAAGCTGTGCAGCAAATGCCATTACCACCCGCATTGCGCGGTCTGAGTGCTTCTGCCGGGACGGTTCGCCCTGCTCCGCCAACAGCGTCACGCTGGGCCCACCCCCCTAGGGTTGGCCCACACGCAGCCCCCAGACAGGCGGGTTGGACGCAAGCCATCCTGCAATTGCCACCAAAGGGGTGCGCATCTAGCTGGGCCAGCTTTCTGACCAGAAGTTAGAACATCTTGCTTGGCATTCTTGCCAGATTGCTTTTCTTCCAGAGCTCGCAAAAACCCTAACTTGGTTCGACGTTAGCACTTTCGGAGGTTTAAGGGTTTTACATTGGGCTTTAGAGTTCAGGCTCTCAGACTCGAGGGTTTTGGATTTTAGGGTTCTAGCTAGATTCTTAAACGCGGCCGCGCCGGTCACTGAGTCACTGACCGTGGGTACGTGACGGTCACTCCGAGCCTGGGCTGCCAGTGATATAGGATAAATCGGAAATCCCATGCTTAGTTTTAACTAGCTACTGGAATTGACTCGGAATTTTGCATGGCAGCATGGCAATATATAAGGTAGATGCACTGCAACATGATCGATGAGCTCCTCACTAAGTAGGACCGTCAAGTCGCGGTCGGACTCCCCGTTATTACGTTGGTGCCGCCTATATACCGGTAGCTAAGTTTAATATAGCTAGCTACGGGCCGGGCCGCCCTCATGCATTCCACGTACTAATTCCAACACATGTCCAATTACATCATTGTCCATGACCGCGTCAATTCCCATCTTCCGACATGTTAAGGAATTTGATCGAAATGATCATTCATTCAATATATGCACATAATGATTCAATTAAATTATAAATATATTGCGTGAACGTACATGCATGTAGCTAGCTGGTGCATGTTCATCGATTGTATAAATTAAGCGCGCAGCCTGCATGTCCGACTGCATACGTACACTGAGCATATGCATGAGCAGATCCGGATCTTCGCGAAGCCAATTCCGACCGTCCTCTTATGGTACGTTTCCTCAAGGAAACCAAGGTAGGAAGCTATATAGCAAGAATGATCTGAAGAACATGCGAGTCAATTAGATTTATCGATCGTACGTTTGATTCGGATCTTCCATGCTTCATACAGTTCATGATTCAATGTATACAAAATAGCTCTATTTAATAACTTTTGGCTGTCTTTAAATTATAGAAGTTGGGAATTTTCAATATACATATACAGAGGCCCCGGGCCTCACTCACAGGAGTGCTTAAGTTTCGATCAGCTCAGTAAAAGAGGCCGGGCCACCCCTTTTGCTGTCGATGCATGTTAGCGACATCATTGCACTTGCATCGGATTGACTGAGCAGGGGCAAGAAAATACTTCAAGCTTCAGCCAATGGCCCGCACGGAACACTAGCTTAAGGCGCGTCACAATGGGCAGTATCCAGGTTCAACGAAGCTCGGAACACAACTTAGCAGATATATCCTGACTCCATCACGGTTGATTTCGACTAGGCTAGCTAGCTGAAGTTAGCGCCGGCTAATAATATCGATGCACACTAGTTAGCTGATTGGTGGAGTACTTTCCTTGCTTCAAGGTGATGGTAATACGATGTGCCAACTTCAAGTTGTGCCATCATAAAAGCGACAACTTAAGCGACTGCAGCAAGCAGGTTCAAGCATAAACCTTACGAGCTGCTCGAGCAGGCTAGGCAGATACCTACGAACTCGTCCCTCATGTAGTCTACACAAGGCTGGATGTATCGAAGCCAAGGTTCTGGATGGCACTACCTTGCTGACAGCTTTTTCCGTCGCGACATGATCAGCTTTGTGCTGGCCTTCTTCTTGTTTCTCGTCTTGCCCCCCTTTGCCGGTTTCGCCCAAGGCGACATGCTGCCCTTCCGCCCCCCCGACGTCTTACCCTCACCACCTCCGTGGGGATGGTCCACAGGGTTCATGGCCACACCGCGCACCGTTGGTCGCCACCCCAGCCAGCGCGACTTGCCGGCCTTGCCCCAACTGATGTTGTGGTAGTTGGCGTTCGACACACTGCCCACCGTGGCCATGCACTTGGCCAGGATCATGCGCATCTCCCCGCTCTGAAGCCGGACCTGCGGACGGGCTTGCAGATAAACATCTACTCTGCCAAAACGGGCCGCTTACATGCACGTTCGTGGAGGACAACTCCAGCTAAGCTTTCAGGATATGCCGCGTTACCAGAGGGATGAAACAGTCAATCAGTGCTGCATCCGCATTTGATTGGACGGAACAAGCGGGGCTAAGACGTTGGCCAATCTGCACAGTTGGCCTCCTTCCCAGTTCGTCAAGCGGGGCTGACCTGGGAGTAGCGGTCCACTTGGCCAATGAGCTGCGCGGACGCCCCAGCCGCCCGCACCAGCTGCCCGCCTCGCCCGGGGGTCAGCTCGATGTTGTGGATCACAGTACCCCTGCACAGCAGACGGAGTCATCAGGAAGCCACCCTTGCTGTAGCTAGGAAGGCACGACAGGCCCTGCATGCTCACAGGACCAGGAACTGGACAGGGTAGAGCGAGCCAGGTAGAGCGACAAGAATAACGAAACGATCTGTTGGACGAGTACGAACACCGCAAGGCACGCTCCCTTGTTACGCTTCTTGGCAGGAACGCGCTCGCTGGTCTTTGTCCGTTTGTGGCCGCCGTGCCTGACACCCCACCTGGGTATGTTTCCAAGGGGCAGCGCATTCCCCGGCTTGATGTCCACGTGCTGCCCCGCCATGACCGGGTCCCCCGCCGCCAGCCCCTCTGGCGCCAGGATGTACGCCACGTGCCCGCTGACGTAGCGAATGAGAGCAATGTGCGCATTGCGGTTGGGGTCGTACTCGATGCGCTGCACCATCGCTGGCACGTCGTTCACCAGCGGGCCCTGCCGCTTGAAGTCAATCACGCGGTATAGCCGCTTGTGGCCCCCGCCGCGGTGCCAGATGGTGGTGCGACCCGTGTTATTGCGGCCCCCGATGCGCTACAGTGCAAGGGAAGGCAAGATTCATCAAGGGATCACAAGGATCATAAGGGACTTCCAATGCTCTGACCCGCTCGAGCGGTCGTTTGCTCTGCTTACTCCCAGTTCTCCGCCAGGTTGCTATCGCTGGTGCATCTGAATGACGTCAGACCGCTGAATCCGCTGTACATGTACATGTAAAGAAATGCAATATTGATACCAGTTCGTTCCGGCCTCTCGCTTACAAACGCCCGGACCTCCGATTGCCGGGGGGTGGGGCACGTCCGCAGGTTGGATGGCGAAGTGCCGGTCAGTGCTCGTTCAACATGGGGCAACAGATAGCACGCTCCAGGTTCGGGTATTTGACTTTCATCGCCCCATTTCTATGTCAAAAGCGGCTGGCCAAGCCATATTCGTTTCCGTAGGTCGCTGGTATTGTTGGGCGTTGGTATGCCCTTGTGTTCGATCGACTGTGCGTCCACTGACGGGACTCTAGAAACAGCAAAACGCGTTGCATGACAAGAACCAGAAGGATCTGCGGAAGGACAAACAGAGCCAAAAAGAGAGGGGAGATTATCCTTATCTCCCCCTGACTTCAACAGAGTCCTTGCCTTCTGCTGCTATCGACCCTTCTTCAGGTTCATCAGCTCTCCCACGCGAAGTTTGGAACACACTGCCCTGGGCTAGATCCTGGCAAAAAGCTATGAATACAGTGGCAACAAGTCTCCCAATCACAGATGCACCTCCGTTCCTACCGCCCAATTGCGCGCCACGTTGACGCCGCGCCTCACCTTGAGCCCAATGGTGAGCTGCTTCATAGGTTCGCCCCTCCAGAGGCCGTTCTTGGTGCCTGGAGTTGTGCCCCCCCCGCCTGTCCCCCCTGACTTCATTTGCTGACCCGCTGCCACCATGGACGCCAGGGCACTCGGAGACACGCCAGAGCTCAGCGCAGCTGCCTCGGGCGCGGCGTGCACTACAGCATGGTGGAATGCTGCCCGGTGCAAGTGGAACAGCGGGAAGGGCGGAGACGGAGTGTACGATGTGGAGGGCGCTTCAGAGCTGGGTGCACAGGCAGGCCTGAAGGAAAAGCAAGGATCAGTGGGAGGAGGTGTAAACAGAACTGCCGCTGATGAGAAGAAAGTGCACTCGCACACCCTGTCGAGTGGCCTTGATTGCTGAGTTCCCAACACATGAGGTTCCCACCAATGTGGCCAGCTTCATATGTCTACAACTGAAGTTTTCAATCCTTTTGTGGGCTCCAATCTCCCGTCTCACCTTTGGTCGAATTCTCTTGAACTTCATTGGATCAACAATCGTAGCGGTGGGTGCCAGTGGATTCAGCAGCAAGTGGTGCACAGCGGTGATGCAGGGACCGACATATTTGCTTTTTACTTACCTTTCCTGCGCTTCACTGCAACCACTTTCCTCGGCAATGTCTCGATCAAGAGACAAATCAGCAATCATGTGACTGCTCGTCAATGCCCGAGATGGCGCGTGAAAGCTGGGTGCCTTCAATGAAAGGAGCGCGCGCCGCAAAGCCATCGCCAGTACTTCGTCAACTCAACCAACAAACAATCACCAGTGCCTCGAAGTCAGGACCTCAATGTATGCCACATTCTGGAGGACGGAAGGGTCTACCATCAAAGGTGGCATCAAGTCTAGTGGTAGCCGCACCCTCAGCCGCCACTGCGTCTCAAATTTCAAAATATGGTTCATCAAGGCATGTGCAAATCGCAATGCATGCTGTGCACAGATGGGCACCATTGCGCTGCAGCTCCTTAAAGATAGCTCCTCCTCATGCTAGTTCGGACCCTTGTCCTTAATTGGTTGCGGACTCGATCCTGCGGGCCACTGAATGGTAACGGAGCCTCCTCGGGCTAGCTCAGTTGGTTGAGCGTCGTGCTTAACCTAGCACACTAAAAGGGGTTGGACCGAAAGGTCGTGTTGTTCGATTCTCGAACCCGGCCATCCGCTGCGGAAGGGGCGAGGATTCCCCTTTCGTTTGTCGGTGTGCTAGTCCCGGTGCTGCAGCTGATCAGCCCGGTGTGCCAGACTGTTCATACCCACTGAATGGTAACGGAGCCGTTACCGAATCTGCATCACGGCGCGGCGACTTGGTACAGCAGTTTCGGGGCAGGCTTCCCGGTTGCGTTCGATAGATAGGGTGTATTTAGGGTCTAATTCTAGTCTGTGTTTAGGCTATTTAGTCTAAGTTTTAGCTTTTGCTTTGACGTCATTTAAAACCAAGGTGAGCACCGAGCCGTAGATCCGCTGCTCAGGGCCCATCTGACGCGCCGAGTCTTTGCCACGTATCAATATTGGTCTCATCTATGACGTCAATTGGTCTGGTAACGCAACTAAACTTAGACTAAATTTAGCGTAAGTTATATACACCCTATCTATAGAACGCAACCGGGAAGCCTGCCCCGAAACTGCTGTAGCAGAAAGATCGGTTCCGTGGTCGCCACGAGGATGGGAAGGTTCGACATTAGCTAGGACATCGCCTCCTTCACTGTCACTGATCCACATCACTGAGGGGCGATTCGCACCCAGGCAGATAAGGCCAACTTTCCAGATAACGAATCTGAAATTCATTCGCACATAAGCGCAGATTGGTGGATCTGAAAGTTGGAGCATTCGCACATATGCGCAGATTCGCGGATTCAATTTGCGCAACGTTCGCATATGAGGCCAGATTGCTCTGCGGATTCAAGTCGAATCTGAGAAAGCAAAACGACGAGACGACTTTGCCTGTAGAGCTAAAAGGATAGGTGGGGGGTCCATTTTAGAGTACATTTTTGTACTCGGCCAAGGCAAAGTTGTGTACCTTCTCAGTACACCCTGTGTACATCATGCGTGCACCAGTACAATCGACACTTTTATCGTCGAAGTGCAAATTGGAAGCTTTTCCTGGCTTCCAATCTGACTTGTGCTTATCTGATCTGGAAAACGGCGCAGTTTCGCTTATCTGAAAGCTACCCGGGTTATGCGCAGATCAGATTGGCTTATTTGATCTGAGAAACTTTCAGATCAGATAAGAGGTCCAATCTGATCTGCAAAATTGCCCCGGTGCGAATCGCCCCTGAGCCTCAGGAAAGCCTAGCTGTCAACAGAAGAGCCAAGGAGGGCCCATACTAATAGGTACCTACCTACATGAAGGCAGCTGGAAAGTGCAGAAAGCTCTGAGCACAGTTTATCAACAGCAACACACTACCTACTTAGAATAATAGAGACGCAGGTTTTGCAAATCTGAGGAGCCCTACGGCAGCATTTCCTTCCAGATTTGGCATGAAAAGACGCTTCCTTCCATTGAGAAGGGGCTTTTGTCTTTATTGTCTTTATAAACAGCACGAGGTGGAGGGAGTCCCCCGCGAGTGCTGATCAACAACAGATCTGAGCCCATAGACACAAAGGTCCTGTTCAGTGCTGGTGTGCAAGAAATGGAGGTGGCCACCAGATCTGCTGCCAGCTTCCCTCACTTGCTGCCTGATGGCCAAGTGCTCCATGGGCAGGGTCAGGCGAGGGGCAAGCCAGCCAGGCCAGCGGCGCTGGCCAGCAGCCCCAGCCCTCTTAAAATACCCAGGCGTGGGCCTCTCTTTTGCCGTTGCGGCAAGGAGCTGCCGAGGAGCGATTTTTTTGGGACCAGCTGGCACCCTGACGCTTCCAGCCAGCGGCCCCAGTCCACTCGCCCGGCGTTCGCCAGGGCTGAGGGACAGGCAGGCAGGGAGGGGGGTCGGAAGCAGCGGGGGAGCATAGGGGCCACAGCGCGGGAGCGGCGGCAGGTGCGCGCAGCAGTCAGCGTGGTGCAGGACGTGGTGACTGAAACGGGCGGGTGGGGGCTGGAGGAGGTGCGGCGAAGGTTTGAGGCACTGGCGGACGGGCAGAGCAAGTACCGGCTGCTGCTGCAGTATGCGGCGGGGCTGCCGCGGTTGGGGGAGGGGGACAAGACGGCGGACAACAGGGTCATGGGCTGCACCGCACAGGTGGGGCGGGCAGGGGGCAGGAGAGGGGGCTCTTGATCACTGTGGTGGCCACAGCTTACCTCGTGCGACGTCTTTGCTCCACTTCTAGTGCATCCATCGCAAGGAGACTGGATGTTAGTTGGTTGAAGGGGTGTCTCAGGACTGACAAGTGGAGTTTGGGTTCTGGTTGTTCTCTGATCAGCTGGCCTTTCAGAATACGTGACAAGTCAGGAGTCTGCAGCTTGCAGCCGGACTGATAATCGATTCCCGACATCTGATGGTTTTTCGTTGCTAGGTGGTGCAGGTCCAGGGTTACGCGTTAAAGGTGCTTGAAGTTTTCTGAGCAATCCCCTGAAACATTCATCATAGTATTTTCAAGATCATGCTGGGGGTTTAGGGTTTAGGCGCTTTAGGGTTTCACAAGCTGAGATTCAGCCCTTATGGAAGCCCATTACTTTCAATCTACATTGAGACTCATATCACGGTGGACCCCTCTTCGCAGGTCTACGTGACAGTGTGTCTGGATGATGCTGGCCTGGTCCAGCTGGGGGGCGACAGCGACAGCGAGCTCAGCCGGGGGCTAGTGGCCGTACTGGTGGCTGCCCTAGGGGGCCGCCCCCCCGCTGAGGTGCTGGCTGTCCAGGAGGACGCTCTGGCGGGCCTGCAGCTGGGGTCCGCCGTCACGTCCCGCTCTCGCATCAATGGCTTCTACAACATGCTCCAGAGCATCCAGCGACGCACGCGCGCCGCCGTAGCCGCTGCCGCGGGGGAGGCTCCCCCAGCCCCCTTCCCCTCCCTGCTGATCACAGCAGGGGGAGAGGCGGTGGAGGCGCAGGGCGAGTTTGCACGCGCGCAGGCGGAGTACCTGTCCCCCGACCCTGCCGCGGTGACAGAGCTGGTAAACCTGCTGCGCGAGAAAAAGATTGGCGTGGTGGCGCACTTTTACATGGACCCCCAGGTGCAGGGGGTCCTGGCGGCCGCCGCGCGGCAGTGGCCGCACATCCACATCAGCGACAGCCTGGTCATGGCCGACCGTGCCGTCAGCATGGCGGCCGCGGGGTGCGAGCGGATCGCAGTGCTGGGGGTGGACTTCATGAGTGAAAACGTGCGCGCGATCCTGAGCCGTGGGGGCTACCCCGAGGTGCCGGTGTACCGCATGGCCGCGGAGCACATTGGGTGCAGCCTGGCGGAGGCGGCAGAGAGCCCCGCGTATGTTGACTTTCTGGAGGAGGCGGCGGGGACGCCGGGCAGCCTGCACGTGATCTACATCAACACGAGCCTGGGCACCAAGGCGGAGGCGCACGCGCGCGTGCCGACCATCACGTGCACCTCCTCCAACGTGGTGCAGACAGTGCTGCAGGTGAGGGCAGGCGCCGCACAGCGCTGAAAGAAGATGGGCAGTCTTGAGAGGGAGCCATTGGTCACAGGTCTTGTGGAGGATCGCTTTTCAGGGTTTACACAAATTCTAGAGGGGCTTCTGGCTTTCAATCACTCTCGGGGCTTGAACCAATCCGGTTCATTGGGAGCCTCTGCCAGAGACGGGTGGAGAATTGTTGATAGGAGTCCTGGCTCTTCTTGCCGGTGGTTGAGGGGCACTTTCCACAGAGCTTTTGACAAGCGGCCTAATTAGAAGGCACTGCCTTACGTCCCGGGGCCCCCTGCACCCTTTGCTTCATCTCAATAGTTGCGCGAAAAGGTGGTGCGGAGGAGGCGTCGACAAAGATAGAATATGTTCAACTTGGAGTTGTGTGGTCAGGTGTACCTTCTTTGAGCCAGTCAAGACAGCAACGGGGGGAATCCAGCCATAAAGAACGTTGGCACTTCTCAAAGCAGCGATCTGCGCTTCCATCCTCCCTTCACGTGTGACCTTGTGTATGCATCTGTGTCCAAAACGCTTGGTCTGGTGTGGTGCGCCTTGGCGCCCTCTGCTGGTGATACAATCATCTCCTCCACCTTTGCTGCAGGCGTTTGCGCAAGTCCCAGAGTGCAGCGTGTACTACGGCCCCGATACGTACATGGGCGGCAACCTGGGCACGCTGCTGCGCCAGCTGGCCACACAGAGCGACGAGGACGTGGCCAAGGTGCACCCCGCGCACACGCAGGCCTCCATCCGGGCGCTCCTGCCGCGCCTCCACTACTTCCAGGTACGCCACGGCCCTGCCACGGCAGGGAACGGATTCGCCGAGCTTGACGGGGGCAGACTTGGTATCCCTAACCATTTGAGAGAGTGTCTCCGGAGATTTGTACTCTGAGAGGCACGAGGTTATTGCAGAGACTGGAGGTGACGGTTTGAGGACGTGTGGAGTATCAGCCTTCATCTGATACTCCAATTGGATAAGTCCTTCGATAGGTAGCCCAGAGGCACTTTAACGAGAGCTGGCCAGTGGAAAGATGGTTATGAAGAGACGGCTCTCTTCTTTTATACCCGAATCTATGCTCGCCGCCCGCAGGACGGCGCATGCATGGTCCACGACATGTTTGGGCAGGCGGTGACGCAGCGCGTGCGCGCCAGCTACGGCGATGCGTACCAGGCTGCGCACTTCGAGGTGCCGGGCGAGATGTTCGACCTGGCGCTGGAGGCGGCGGCGCGCGGCATGGGCATCGTCGGCAGCACCAAGAACATCCTGGATTTCATTGCGGAGCGCACGCAGGCCGCGCTGGCGGCGGGGTACGCGCAGCGGCTGCAGTTCGTGCTGGGCACAGAAGCGGGCATGGTGACGGCCATCGTGAACAAGGTCAAGGGGATCCTCAAGGAAGCGCGCGCGGCTGGGAACGATACACCGGTCGAGGTGGAAATCGTGTTTCCCGTCAGTGCCGACGCAGTGACGGCCACGGGGGAGAACGGCAGTGGTGGCTCGGAGGCACTGGCGGGGCTGACGATTGTGCCGGGAGTGGCGGCGGGAGAGGGCTGCTCTACAGCGGGGGGGTGTGCGTCGTGCCCGTACATGAAGGTGACCGCCGTCTCAAAGGATGCTCTGTCATTTTTGTTGTCAGGATGTTTAGCGGTTTTTGAGAATCTCGATATCCAACCATCCTGGAAAGTGGCAGTCATTGAGATCATTCGATGAATGATTGGTCGAGGCGTTACTCGTTCAGAGAAAGATTCTAAATGCTTGTTTTCTTCAGAGATAGGCAGTCGCGGAGATATTCTGATTTTATTCAGAGCAGGTGTCACTCGGCCAACGTCGTTCTGAAATGCTGTTAACCCACTCGCTTTTCCAGATGAACTCGCTGGACGCGCTGCTGATGGTGTGCCGGCGCATCGGCACCCCCGGCGAGGCGCTGCTGGACGCTTTCCAGCCGCGCATGGTCGACCGCACCGTGGCGGGCAAGGCCGCAGTGGACCTCGGCTCCGACTCCATCCTGCACATGCGCCACTTCCAGGTCAGCACGGCCAGCAAGACAGCCGCTGTCGTATGGGGGACTCGCGCTCTTCTTGTATCACGTCTGCTCTCAGAGGAACTGCAAAAGTTACTTCCTTTTGCACAGGGGATGGTTGTCAAGAATGAGTTGCGCATAGCCTCTTTCTCCGTCGAAACAAGTACATAGAAAGATGGCTCGACTCTGAAGCATCGCATCTGAGCGGTGGCTGGGTATCGTTTTTGCAGACCAACGGGAAGCTCTCAGACGAGCTGGTGGCGGACATCCGGACACGCAACCAACATGGAAGGCAAGGGCCGCTTTAAGCAGGGATGGCGGTCCAGGTTTGGTACAGCCGAAGCTTGCCGGTTGAGCACATTACTGGACCGTTATACTGGAAGAAATTGTTTGATCATGTCAGTGAGCCCTTGTCTACTATGAAGCCCGTGGGCTCGCAATAGAAACTTGACGACACGGTTCACTTTGATGCGCGCACAAGAGACCTCTTATCAGAGTATTGCGTAGATAGGGCCTCAATTGCTTTGGTTACTTGGATACTTGAAACATTTGTTTGGGTATCTCAAAGTCGTTGAGTGACGTTTATCACTGAAGGGTTTTTTCGTGAGTCCACTGCAATATATCAAAGGTGGGAAATTATCTTGCTTAAGGTTTGCCAGTTCGGCTTCCACTGCGTTGTCAGGAATGATGCGGACGCAGAGGAATCGATTGGATCAGACGTGATTGATTCATGCAAAACACAAGCTGGCCGCCCGCCCGGCCAGGCTTGATTGTGTGCCGGATACCATCATGTTGACCATGAGATTGTTAAATGAATATATGGTCGGACGGTTCCGGCTAGAGCTTGAATGAAGCCCATGTGCGTACTATAAAATATATGTATATGCGACAATGATACCTCGCGCATAAATAAACGTACATGGAAAAGACATATATATGGCCGCCGAGCATTGGCATGTACGTATATATATAGCTATAATTCATGTATGGCCGCCGCTAGCTATAGCTCGGCGGGCCGCCCCGCGTTAATTGGAGTTTTATCGAACGTGACTGCGCCTGGCAAAAGAACACGTACAATACTGAGAGGTAGCTGGCCGCGCAGGCAATCATTTGCCTTAAGCTGCTTAAGATCCCGGATGGATTCCTAGCCGCCCGTGGCCGCTGCCGGCTAGCCTAGTAGCGCCCGCAACTGGCAACGGCCTGCTCGATCCAGGCATGTGTGATTGGGAGGCATACCCTCAGCATAGCTTATGCGGCTTTGCGTTTGCTCAAGCTGATAAGTTGAGTCCACAAACAGTCGATGAACGAGAGCTTAACCATGTAATTAACAGTCGGTACTATCTACGCAGTGAAAGTAGGAGCGGCCGGAGGCCGCCGGACGCGTAGACCGTGACATGGGTTCACAACGGCCATTTACAGCTGGTGCCCTCAGTCAGCATGTACGCATTGGTTGCGAAAAGACATGTCACAGCTAATACCCTCGGCATTTACTCAAATTGCGAGCTACGAACGAATCACTTCGCGCGTCAGCTGCCATTGGCTGTGGCGGCGTGCTCTCGTAAGCATGCCCGCATCTCCCCGTCCAGCTTGTGGCACCCATCCAGGCAGAGCTCGATGGCCTGCACAAACCGCAGCAACAGCTGTTAAGCTCCATCGTCTCGAAAAAAAATAAGCATGAACAGCCCACAGGGCTTTGGCAACGCCTCTACTGCCGTGTGCTAACTTGAAGCCCCTGCCTGCCCGTCTGTAAAGAGTGCAAAACCGTATAGAAGCCAAAACAGGCCTCCAGTTTCGATCCAGGACTCTGATGCCTCTGCCCCTGAAGTTGCCCCTCCTGCTCACCTGCGCGGCGTGCGTGTCGGGCCAGGCCCCTGCGAGGTGCATCTGCGTGACCTCATTCCTGGCGGGCATCAGGGCCACCAGCACGTTGCCGTCCTGCGCGCGCTCCTCGCTCGCAGCGGGGTCCACCAGCAAGTGACCGCCCACCAGGCTCTGCTCACACAACGGTCACAGGGCAGCTGAGACTGCCAGGCACGGCTAAGAACTGGCCAGCCTTGGATACTTAAGAAATATATGGTGAATCGATTCGGAGCCTGCTCAACGCCCTCTGTACCACAGTGGGCACCAGGAACTTTCGGAACACGCCTTCTTTTGGACATATTGGGTGCTGACTCTTTCAGTTGGGATCTTTTGGACCTTATGGACTAACAGTCAGAAACCGGTCAGCACATGAAGTACAGCAAGGGTCATGCAAGGTCACGCTGTGACCACTTCGAAAGAAGCCGAGACAGATGACAGGCGTCCACATAAACAATCATCGAATAAGCGGAAATCTGTGCAGCCCGCTCACCAGCGAAGTAGCTGCCACCATGTCGAGCATCTCAATGCCCGCGTCCGCCAGGGCCAGCGACGCGGCAGTCACCACAACAGCCAAGTCCGCTGCGCAACCAGGAACCCACGGGGCGTCACAAAGTATGAAAAGAGGGGGCATACTGTGGCACGATCGGAGCGTGTGCAACTGACCACAGCGCCACGGTGAATAGACCCTCAAGGAAGCTTTTTCTTGATGTGATGGATGTCGAGAAGAGGCACTCCTTGGACATGAGAACCTCTCCAGCTAGAAAGGAGAGGGGAACGCAATCTGGCAGGGCTCGTGAAACTTCAGGTCGGCGCAATCGAGGGGGGTTTCTGAAGGCTGACCTCCCCCCGATTCCAGGACAAGCGCAAAGACGTCGACTGAGGCCTTGGGGAAGGTGTCGAGGCGCACCGCTGATACAAGCGCCTTGTGCAGCAGGTCCGACAGCTCGCGCTCGGCCGTGCCCTGTGGCGGGGGACGACAAACAATGATGTGGCAGTGGGGCTTAATAATGGGAAAGATTGGGGAGATCAAATGTTTGGTCATCAAGAAGACTCTCAGGGGACAGGCAGAGCCATATCGGTGGGGCAAAATGACAGGACTACACACGTGAGTAAACCAGCCGAACCAGTGCTCATCATGGCATGAACACATGCTCTGAAAGGCCCACGTAATAGTACCCAACCAGGCAAGTGTGCGCAGGCAGCGGGCGTGCCCACCTGGCCGTACTTGCCGCGGCTCTTGGTGGCAAAGGCGGCCAGCTTGACGTCGCAGGTCAGGCGGCTGGTGTCGCTGTACGCAGCAGCCTTGCGCGACTCACGGGGGCCATACCTGCAGCAATGCGTATGAAGCTCATGAATTATGACCTGCGAGGTGTGCACACAGAAGCTCCATCTTAAAACACGCCCCAATGTTACAGAAACCCCCTAATAAAAAGCGTTGGACTGCTCACAAGACGTAATGCAGACAACTCTTTGGAGGGGCGCAACTGAATTGAGGTTATTGGGTCTGTCCTCACACTGCCACCAGCACCTTTGTGCTTGCAAACTCAGCGTAGGCGGATCCCGCCGCCCTGCTGACCGTCCCAACCTGCAAAACTGGGGAATGCATCGATTGTCAGGTGGTTGGCATTCCACCAGAAGTGGGGAGGCAGAGGCTCACTTTTGGACCATTGCAGATGTTCTTCTGCTGCTGCTTGTTACCCCTACCCTTGCAGATTGAGCCCACGAATCTAGGAATATCAGGGGCAGGTTAACAATGACATTATCGTTCTGCCCAGTTCCACCATCCACCATGCCACCGTCGCCCGAGCCTCACATGCTGGTCGACATTCCTCTGGCAGACGCCCATCCTGCCTCCTGCTGTCCGCTCCCAGCACGCTGCGGCTGGCGGGTCCCGCACCGTCCTCCTGCATGACGCGCTCCTCTATCCCAGAGTAAGGGGAGTAGCTGGGGGCACCGCGGGCACTCATGGTGCAACACCGGGACCGCAGCAAAGAGGGGACACGTATTTCACACCACTTTCAAAGCCTCAGAACATGAGTGGTCCAATACTCTTGTGAGGCACGCACCCGAGCCTAGAAGGCTGGAAGGCGTGATCGAGCTCCTGCGAATCCTCAGCCCTCATCCGCACATTGTCAAAGCTAGCAACAAGCTGGAAACTAGGCATGCGCAATTTACCTGGTTAAGGACCACCCACGGACCTTGATAATGCTTGGTGTTATTGGTTAGAATTGGTTCAATTTTTCAGGTGTACAGATGTCGCTATCCCATACGTTACAATGCCTGCCTGGCAAGTTCAAATTGGCCTCTGCTGACACATCTGAGACTGTAGCTCGCACTGTCGCAGTGAAGTCTGAAGGCACCACATGGCACAACTCGGAAGTTGTAATCAGGTCCAATGGCTTGAGCAGGAGGGAAGAGAGGCCGGGGCAGAGAGAGGAAAAGAGGGAGAGGAGAGCAAAGAAGATCTGCGAGGGCAAGTGAGGAGCAGAAAAGAGGCCGCCCACGCAGCTAGACAAGGAATATGCTGGAGAAGACGACGGTTCCCCTGCTTGTGCGACGTCCACCTTAAAATTCTGAGCATCTTCGAGCTCCGGAACTGTTTGTCATCTCGCTGTTAGGTCGGCTTTTGCCAGACCCGTAAATTGCTGAGACATTGCTGGGCCTCTGGCCACAGCGGCAACAAAGATGGACGTGGCGGGGGCAGCCGCAGAGGGCCTCTTGCTGGCAGAGGGCCCGGGCCAGGAGGCCTTGCCCGCCCTGGAGGGGCCCCAAGAACCAGACGTGGCGCAGCTGCAAGAGCAAGTCACACAGCTGCAAGCACAGATTAAGGTGAGCACTCAGGCGCGTTTGACGCAGCCCCCTTTTCCTGTAACCAATGGCCTTGGAGTTCTTCCCTGCAATTTGGTGTTGGTTGCTCGGGCTGGCTGCTAATAGACAATCAAACCTTCGTCCTCAAAGCAAGAATATGCAACATTTGGATATTTCAGACAGTGAGGAGACCAGATTCTGACGATCAAGGAGGTCAAATCGGGCATTTATGCGGGAGACTTTTCAATAGGTAAATCATTGTAGAATGAGAAACCGGTAGAATTGACAGCCAGCCGTTGCAAATGATCCCCGTGCTTGTCTGTGGTGTCCCAGGCGCTGCAGAGTGAGCTGGAAGTGCGCGCCAGCGAGGCGTCCGCAGAGCTGGCCCGGCAGCGGGAGATGTTTAAGGGGGCCATGGCGCAGTCCGACAAGCTGGCGCAGGAGGAGCTCGACAAACGCATCGCGGTAGGTGCTTTGACCGCACCAAGTGATGCCAGACTCTCCGGAGTGCTGGTCGCTTGGATCACTTACAGTGTTTGAAGCAGCATTTGTGAGAGGGCCGCACTGAAGGAAATGCAAGGGGACCTTGCGGTAGTACCCTTGCATTGGTCTTGGCCCTCACTTCAAAGTTCGTAAATAGCAGCTGTAAGCATATTACCAGCTACTCCCGCACATTACCCACCATTTTGCTGAGATTGCCCATATTCCCCTGATGTGTGCTCTGCCCCCTCCTGCAGGAGCACACCCACCGCGAGACTGCCCTCACCGGCGCTCTGCACGATTTACAGCAGGCGCTCGAGGGGGGCGAACAGCAGGTGAGCACGGGGGCATATAAGCACGCCCAGCGATGAGTCTCCGGAACTTGAGGGATGACCTACAATCTGCATTGAAGAGTCTGTCACTTGATTCTGATGAAGGTCCCGAATGGTGGAGGCCCAAGCGACTGGGTCGCGCAATGGCTCTGCATATGGATGTCACAAGAGGTGTTCAAAGCTGCTAGGTTCTCCAAAAGCACTCTCCCCTGACCTTGTGCTGTCCCGACTGTGCAGGGCGAAACAGTGGTTGTGAAGCTGCCAAAGGTTGATTGGGCCCGTCTCATCCCCATGACCAACCCCCCCCTCACCTACCGGCCTCCTCCCGTAAGTTGCCTTTGTGCCCTCTTGTTTCTTTGAACAAGGACCTGCGTATGTTCCGTGCCCTTTTGTGTAGTTTGCAAGAGCTGGTCCAAACATCCCAAGCCAGAATCAAAAGATGTGCGGTCTTTCTGCTGCTCCGTCCCAACCGGCACATCACTCCTTCCCTGCAGCCAATCTACTCTTCCCCCCCTCCCGGTAATCCACGAAAGCGCGGCCGCGGCAACGGCCCCGCCGCCCCCCCCATCCCGCGGCCCACCCAGCTGCAGGCGCCTGTGCACCTGGCGGACCCCCCCCAAGCACTGGGCCCCCACGCGCGCTCGCTGCACATGATGCCGCAGCATCACATTCTGGTGTCTTCCGACGGGCACCCGATCGGGCACCACTTTGGGCACACGGTCGGGGTGCACAGCTCGTCTCAGATCCTGGCCGCCCCCCTGTTACCAAACCAAATGCGGTCCCCCCAGAAGAGTGCCCGCCTGCCGCAGGCCCCCCTCCAGAGCGCGCACATCCCGGCGCACTACAGCGGGGCGCTCATGGTGGCACCGCCGCAGGAGGAGGAGACGGAGGGGGAGGGGGCGGAAGAAGAGGAGGAGGAGGCGCGGGACCCGCACAAGGACAGCAAGAAGTGCCGGCAGGCGGGGTGTGACAAGTACGCGAGCTACAGCCTGGACAACGAGCACGACCGCACGCGCATGTACTGCAAGGCGCACAAGAAGCCGGGGTGAGGGGGCTGCCCTTTTGCTGACTTCGGGTTCTGCAGAAGTAAGACATTCGTTTTGGGACAATTTCGGGGGCTCGAAATCGGTGGATCCCTCTTGCAAGGCCTCTTAGGGCAGGGCTCTGTCACTATCAGTTGCCACAGGCAGACGTCAGGGAACTTGAGCGATTTTCGAGGTAGCTGCTTAAATAATGAGACAAAAGAGAGTCCTGAAGGTGTCACTTTTGCTTCTAAGCCTCTTGAAAGAAGAACGCTGGGAAGCGTGTCTGCTGTAAGGTACGCAAGTTGTTGTGCTGGTATCCCTCCTTCGGAGTACAGATCCTCGGGGGTTCGGTTCGGTGCCCGGGTCCTCGTAGTTTCAAAGCCCACACTCATACAAACAATTTCGCCTTTCCTGGGGAACAATCTTTGGCTATTTGCGTCGCAATACTTCATTCGGATATAAACACGAGGGCTTTCCAAGATTCAGGGGCCAACATACTTTGAATCGTCGCGGATAATCGTATCCTTTGACCTCGACTGTGGAGTCACCGCTGCGATTCTCTTCTTCTCATGTCCAATTCCCTTCAGTTACCCCTCCAACCGTAGACCATATGGTCCCTGAAGACCCATGTTGGGACACTCTTTCCGTTTTTATCAACTTCTGACCAATCACAAGATTCGTAAGCCTTTCCGTTGATTTCTTTGTACTTCTTTCAAGCTTTCCTGCTTCGGTCGCATTGGACCAGCTATTCGTCTTGGCTGTAGATGTGACGTTACTTCCAGGCAAACTAGGCCTATGCGTAGGTCAACATACTCGGGGCGCTCCTGTATCCCGTGTTCCTTCACAAAGAGACGCTGCTGGTCCGAAATCGGCAATTCTGACGTTGCATTCTGGGTTGCGCAGGATGGTGAACCGCAAGAACAAGCGGTGCCAACACGTCGGCTGCACCAAGGGCCCCGTGATGAGCTTCCCGGGGGACAAGAAAGCGACGCGGTGCAAGGCGCACATGCTCAAGGGCATGGTGGTCAGTCGCGCCCCGCTCGATCAAGGCTCCCTGTTAACGATTACATGAAACTATCGTTTGTTGCAGTTTTAGAACCCTCTTCTGCCACGAAGCTTGCTGGTCTTAAGATGCATTTGGTGCTTCTTTCCTCGTTGTTAAAGTAGCCCGAGCCTGTCGTGAGAGTGCGAGGATTGGACGATATGTAATTGCAGGGTTCCTTTCGCCTGCAATTGAGAAAAGGCACTTTGTCTACAGTTGGGCAGAGTCTACGTTTCTGGTCGGGAGGGTGCTGCTGACCGATTGCAGTCGAGCGGTGTTTTTGGGATGCTGTCAAATTCACGGGTGCGCGTTAGGGCAACTCGCTGAATAGCCCCACGGCGGCTGGCGCATTGGCGGAACGAACTTAGAAGACCCGCACTTGGTAGCTTGCAAGATTTCCTGTAGAGTCAGGTTACCTTGTTGCTCGTCGAGCTCTGGCTGCGGCGTGTCCCCGTCATGGCCTTGACCCTCTGCTCATCGTTGCCGCAGGACGTGATCAACAAGCGGTGCAAGTTCGAGGGCGGGTGCAGCACGCAGCCGTCGTACGGGTTCGCGGGGGAGCGCCCCAGCCGGTGCAAGGAGCACATGCTGCCGGGAATGGGCAACACGCGCTCGCGCCTGTGTGCGGAGCCCGAGTGCCAGATCCGACCGCTGTTTGGGTTCTGGGGGGAAACGACGCCCAGCCGGTGCAAGGCGCACTGCCTCCCGGGGCAGACCAACATTCTGCACCTCCAATGCTCCCACCCCACGTGCCACCAGAAGCCCGTCATCTTTGGTTTGCCCGACGACGCCAAGCCGCGGCGCTGCGCTCAGCACGCTCTGCAAGGCATGGTGGATTTCCGGCAGAAGCTAGTTACGATCGCGGCCCCGCAGCCGGCGGAGGTGCCGGATGCGCCGGCTGCTTTACCGCCCCAGGCAGCTGACATAGTCACATAGTTTTAGATCTTAGACAGGGAAGCAACTTTCTGCGGACTCGAAGCTTACTCGAATGCTGAGGGGCATGTCTTTTCGAGTGAGATTCTCATTGACGCGTGTCTTATGAGTTTCTTGTAAAGGTTTGTCTTGTTAACAATCGTCCTTAGACCGGTTGCCACTTTAAGGTTGCTCAATTTTGCCTCTCCGCAGGCACCTCATAGTGGTGCCACTGAATGGTTTTTCAGATCCGAGGGTTATTATGTACCACCTTGTAGGACTTGCAAGTTGCAGTCCGAGCACTGGATCTGAGATCTCCGGACATTTGTCAGGCAACCGATTGTCGGTGCTGCATAGCCTCGAGAATACGTGAGCGCCACGTCAGCGCTGTGCATACCAGGCATGAGCGCCCAGTTAGCGCTCTCCATGTTGAGCATAT